AGGGGTGTGGGGGGTGCAGGAAGAGGCTGGGCAAAAATCGTACACCTATGGACGAGGACAGTGGGGGCGGGTAAGGGCAGAGGGTGGGGTGGGAACTGGGTGGAGGGAAGTTATGGGGGGAAAAAAGAGGAACAACTGTAATAATCTGAACAATAAAGATTTATTAAAAAAAAGAATAAATGAGGCGGATTAGAGTTTGTCTTACAATACAAAAAAAAAAATAAAATAAAATAAAATAAAATGGTTTGAAAAATTAAATCCATCCTCAAAAGACAAAAATTTGCCACCATAGAAAAAGTGGAAACAAACAAAAATATGCTATAGTTGCTCAGAGCATTCTATGAGACCTCCAAAAGTGCTATAAGTAACAATAGCCTTGACAGGATACATGCTTGGTCTCGTATAGCACTATTTTGTAAATTTATAAGGCTCAGTATGTTTTTTAAATTAAAACACTGTTATTGCACTTTACAGCTTACCTTTAAACATGTACATGTACATTTAGAATATATTCCGTAAGAGAATATTTCAAAAAACAAATCCACATATCAAACATAAGAAAGCCTCAAATGTAACTGCTTGGCACTAGAATTAAAATGCATTTCTATTCTGCCACAACCACATGAGCCCGGAAGACTAAGCTCTAGATCAGTATGGCTGTCACCTTGATTTTAGCCTGTGAGACTGAGCAGAGAACCCAGTCACACGATGTCTGGACTTGGACATACAGAAACAGTGAGTAAATAAATGGGTATCACTTTAAGCTGCTAAAAAAAAAATGTATATCTATACTAGCTTTGTATAATTTCCGGGGGGAGGGGAGGAGTGTCATTGTTATTTTTTCCTTTCATTGTTAATTTTTCTTAATGTAGGTTATTCTTTTCTAAAATTGGGCACAGATATGAATAAAAACATAAACAAGTTCTGGCAGATTCAGTACAACTCAAGAATTTTCCATTATTACCCCAGAGGTGGAGACACTGAGATTGCATAATGTTACAACCATCTAAGGTTTCCTATTTGTATCTAGTTTTCTATGGAGTTAATCTATTATGAAAGTGATGCCAAATTTGTCTATAGATCAGGTACTTGGGAATGGATCATCATTAAACGCTTGTGAACTATTCTGCCCTTATTATAAAACTTTATCCCAAAGCCAAAATAAACTGAGAAAAGATAATGTGAGAAGCATAGTGAGATTCAAATAGATTCATCTTAATTCTTAGCTGTCTGCTATAGAAATAGTTTCAACTTTTTGTCAATACCATCACTGCTCAAAGTAACTAAAGCCCATTACAGAGAAAGTCTTGGAATTTTTTTTAGAATATTATTTATTATAATAGCATTAGAGCTTTTGTAAAAATAGCATCTGAACTATGTTCTCCAGTATCATGTCTATTGAGTAATAATCACAAAATGTTTTTAACCAAATAAAACAAACTTTGACTCACAGATGTTTATCTTCCTTAAAAAAAAAACCCAACACATTATGCTATAACCAAAAAAAAAAAAAATCACCAATTTAGAAAAGACTAACAAAAATAAAAATTTAACTCATTTTGACCTTATGATTTTATCAGATCCATTAAATTCTAGGAAGTTACTAATTCAAAATTAATGAACTGTCATCTAAATTGTTACTTATAACAATCTATAATAATAAAAGTATAATATGCTAATTAGACCAGACGTCCTTCCAGACGACCTTTCGGACAAAGCCGGGTCTGCGAGGGAAGCCCGGGTCCTGGGTGCCTGCCGGCAGCCAGAGGGAAGCTCGGGTCCTGGGTGTCAGAGGGAATCCGGTGCTGGCAGCTGGGGGAAGGAAGGCTTACTCTTGCACAAATTTCATGCATCAGGCCTCTATTTCCTATTATAAAGTACTATGAGAAATCTGGACTTTCCTAAATTCATAATATACCAAAGCCTTTTATGTATACTTGTAACAAATTATCTGTAACGAAATCACATCAGCAATAAAGTACAACTACATATGTGACTAAAATTGCTCCTGATACAGTTACCAAAGATGACTTTCTAACTATATGGTCAAACAGAACAGCCAATCTTCTCTGAATTTTTGCAGCACTTAACAATGTTGAGAAGTTTCTTCCTTCCTGAACCTCCTCATGCCTTCTCTAATGCCACTCTCTGAAGTTCTCCTCCTATTCTACTCTAGCCATCCCTTTTCAGTCACTTTTGTGGGTACTCCTTCCTCAGTCACTCCCTTTAATGTTTTCTCCTTGAGTCCTATATTAAGTGTTCTCTTACTGTACACACTCTTCCATATACAAGGCTTTAATTATTATTTATGTGCCCAAATCTGTAGCTATAACTCAGAATTCTCCCCTACAAGTCAAATTTATTTGACTGGACATCTTCACTTGGATGTCTCTCTTAAACTCAGTAATGGACAAACCTGAGCACATCAATTTTACTGCTAAGCCTGAGCCTCCTGCTAGCCTCCTTATCTTGGTAAAAAGGAAAATCATCCAAGAAAGATTTTTTTTTTAATTTATAAATATCAGAATTTAACAACAAATTAAAAGCAATCTAAAGTTCCAAAAGCTAGAGTCATAAGTATGTTTTAAAACAGTGATGGTGAACCTTTTGAGCTCAGGGTGTCAGCATTTTGAAAAACCCTAACTTAACTCTGGTGCCGTGTCACATATAGAAATTTTTCGAGATTTGCAACCATAGTAAAACAAAGACTTATATTTTTGATATTTATTTTATATATTTAAATGCCATTTAACAAAGAAAAATCAACCAAAAAAATGAGTTCGCGTGTCACTTCTGACACGCGTGTCATAGGTTCGCCATCACTGTTTTAAAACATTCCTTGTTTAATAATCAGTGATCACACACTGAAAAGAGTGGAAAGGACCAAAAGGAACTAAAATAGTCCGATTTTTATTTTGAGATATATTTAAAATATATTTTTTAAATTTTCTGTTCTCATTTAAAGTTAAATTGATAAAAGTTTTTGAAAACAGCAGATTTATTAGATTCCCATGGTAATTACAGAAGTAGCAATTTTCCACAGGGACCTAGAAGTTTAAGGCAGTAATTTAATGCTGGGGTCAGAAACCTTGTTTTCTCAACAACAACTAACTCAAGCATACTACACACACAAGCACCAACTATATTTGGTTCCATTTATCTTACAAAACATTAAGCTATGATTATACCTACTAAACACCCAGGTCCTCAGCCAATAAGGGAAGCTATATCAAATCTTAAACTGTACCATTCATGTTAAAAACAGTAAAAATAAAAAATTACCTTTCTTCTTTGTCCAATGTTTTCTTCTCTGCTGCAGTGACTTTTCTGGGTGGTACAGGAGGGGTCACTTTTCTACATATCTCTTCAATGATACGTTTGTTCATTCTGCTTTGCAATGCAGCTTTTAGTAAAATTCTTTCTACCGCAGTTATACCATCTCCATGACTATATTTAGGAATTTCTGGTTGGATCAAAATTTCTATGTCATCAAGCCAAGGAGGATAGTAGGAGTTTTGTTTTCCTGAGAGTTTGTGGTGAAGTTTAATTAGCAAAGACAATATACTTTCTTTAATTTCCAAAATGGCTGTAGTTAACTGTGGAGCTGAACCAGGAGCAGACCATTTACTTGAAGTTTTAGGACGAACCACCTGATTTGCTTCATTGCTGCTACGATTGATGATCTCCTGAAACTTCTTTCTACGCTCTGCTACTAAGCTGAAAACTTGGGCTGTACCAGAATTCTACCATTAAAAAAGAAAAAGAAAGAAATCAAAGAAGTTATTCAGTGTCAAGTTTAAAAACATATTAGTACTACATTTTCCAAAGGGAATGTTCAAAGTTTCATGCAGATATGTTTCAATAGATTTTCTTTTTAAGAAATCTGCCTCTTCACCTCTCTTTCCTACATATACTTAGACCCACTCAATCTGAAAATAACAATGAAGAGGAGAAAGGAGATAATCCAAGATAACTCTTTTGCAACTTCCTGAATCTATCTATCTACTAGAGAAAACAGACTAAGCTTGAGTAGTATCTATAGTCATATTAAAGAGGAATCATAAATTAAGTTCCTCATCAGTTTAAAAAAAGAAAAGCTGTTCTACCCAACATTCATCAAGAATACCATATTTGCCCTAGCTAGTTTGGCTCACTGGATAGAGCATCAGCGCAGACTTAAATGTCCCAGGTTCAATTCTGGTCAAGGGTTGACCTTGGCTGCAGGCTTGAAACCCTGGCCACACCAGCCCTGCCACCCAACGGGCACATGCAGGTGACAACCAATCGATGTGTCTCTCTCACATCAACGTTTCTGTCTATGTTTCTCCCCCTCCCTTCCACTCTCTCTAAAAATCAATGGAGCTCAGCTGGCATGGCTCAGTGGTCGAGCATCAATTTATAAAACAGAAGGTCACAGTTTGATTCCCAATCAGGGCACATGCCCAGGTTGCAGGCTCGATCCCCAGTGTGGGGCGTACAGGAGGTAACCGATCAATGATTCTCTCTCATCATTGATGTTTGTGTCTCTTTCCCTCTCCCTTACTCTCTGAAATCAATAAAAATATATTTTAAAAAAATAAAAATCAATGGAAAAATATCCTCAGGTGAGGATTTTTTTTTAAAAAAAAAGAATACTATACTCTACTAATTTCTAAAAAACTGCCATATTTTCCAGTGAATAAAATTATAAATTAATTTTTTCTACGCTAATAAATATGAACTGCTAATTAATTTCATTTTTAAGGAACTTCAAAAGTTTGAAAATTATTTCTAACATATGCTTAAAGTTATTAATATGAAATATAAAGATGGAAAATCAAATTTATCTGTTTCATATTTGAGTATCACTATAATTTGTTATTTGAACAGATTTTTAAAAACCATTTTTTTCAATGTATTGTCTAAATAGCCTTTACCCTAAAGCTGTCAAACTGAATTAGAGCTCTTAGAAATCATTTTTAATTAAGACACACATCAGTTTAATACATTTCATTAATTTTTTAAGCAAGAATAAAAACAATGCTCCAATGCTTTGATGAGTTAAATTATAATATACACTATTTTTCAACATCCAAACTGTTTTTCTAATTTTTTTAATCCTCACCCCAGGATATTTTTCCATTGATTTTTTTTAGAGTGGAAGGGAGGGGGGAGGGGAAGAAAGAGAGAGCAAAAGACAGAGAGAGAGAGAGAGAGAGAGAGAGAAACATCTATGTGAGAGAGACACATGGATTAGTTGCCTCCCACATATGCCTTGACAGGCCCCCGACCCAGGCTGGGGATCGAGCCTACAAGCAAGGTATGTGCCCTTGACTGGGAATCGAACCCACAACCCTTTGGTCCTTGGGCTTATGCTCTAACCACTGAGAAACTTGGCGAGGGCCAAGTTGTTTTTCAAAATACTCTCTACCAGCCTAAGAGGCAAAAGCTGCCTCTTAGGAAGATTCCAATATTTTAATAAAAACTCTTTATGATGTTCACAGCAAGAACATGTTGTCAAAGGCAAAGAAATCTCTGACCACAGGACTCTACTATGAGAAATGTCTGATTCAATGTTCCCTACTCACAAAAATATAGATTGTAGGCATTAGGTGTTTAAGTTTAGTTATTTGACATGTCACTGCAATATATTTCATTTCTGCTTTTTAAAAATTAATTAAGCTACATGCAATGAGAGCTGATTTCCAAAATGAATCCAAATACACAATATATAGAGTTTAAGTTTTGAGAGCTTATTTTATCAAAGTTAATTAATTGCCATAATAAAAAAATTATAAATGGGCATGCTGCCGGCAATTAAACATTTAATTTATTTTGATTTAGGAAACATTTATTTTTAAGTTGTTAGTAACAATGCTAAATGTAAACAGACCCAAATGTGCTGTTCATAATTGATGTAAAATACTTCTAATACTACCAAGAAAAACCCACTATTAAGCACTCAGTATTATTTTTTAAGTTCAATAATATGAATTTCCTTTAAATTTATACCTAAATCACTATATTAAAAACACACACGTATACATTAAAGAAACACCTCTTTAAATTTAATCATATTAATTAAACATACATATACACACACAAATACTTCAGTGTTTTTCCACATTTCCAGTTAAAGCCATATTGCTAGTTAATGCAAATATCACATACATCTACCTCTCTTTGAAGAACTTTAGGCCTTCGTGAACTCTGGCAGATTAAAGGAAAAAGAGAGGTGAAGCTGCTTAGATATATCAGAGAAAATAAAAGACAATTTATAGTTACCTACAACCACATTTATTTTTCTTTTGGATATCACAGGATGACCTAAACAATGTATCTGTCCGAACATAACATAAAGCGTTTCCTTTTTCTCTTTCTCCCTTCCACACTTACTTGTAAAGAACCCAAGCTATCAGAGCTGGTACTTGCAGGTGAGTCTCTCTTCACTTCAGGAGCAGTCTCTGGAACTCTCACTCTAACATAGTTTATAAAGTGTCGCATGTTGGCTACTAAATTACTGCCAGGAAACCAACTGTCATGACAACGTTCTGGTCCACACACTGATGCCTAAAACATAAACATAATGAATATCAAGCCTTGTCAAGTCAGGTCTAAGGTACAAGAGAGGTGTAACAAGCCCAAATAATCATCCACTGTCTGTCATATTCTTAAATCCCCATAGCCTCATCCACAAATTATAAAGTGCTAATAAAACCAAATTCAAACACAAAATACCAGAATAAATTTTTCAATATTAATATGGGTAAATTCAAAGGAAGTCAGCTAAATTTCTCCTGAAAAGTACATTTTAAATCTGAAAATACTTAACGTACAGAATATTTTTCATCACTCGTTAGTAGCAACTCATTATATAGCCAAATAATGGTAATATGGAATAACTGTAGAAGAAAGTGTGAAAAATCAACTAAAAGTCTGACCTAGTCTTAGAGGAATCTTAATGATCCTTTAATATCTATGGGAGAATATATGTTGATTCAACTGCCTAGTCTTTTTACTTGGTTTGTTTTTTTGTGGTTTTTTTTTTTTTGCTGTTGTGTTGTATTTTGTCTTTTTGAAGGGAGGGAATGAGGAAGCCTTATATTTTAAAATCAATTTGTAGAAACAATTGCTTTTATGGAATGATACTTTTAAAGTCCTGAAAGATCTTAACTTGTATACTTAAGTACTTTAAACATCCTATGTAATAAAAGGTTAATATGCAAATCGACCAAACAGTGGAACGACTGCTCACTATGACGCACACTGCCCATCAGAGGGCAGACGCTCAATGCAGGAGCTGCCCCCTGGTGGTCAATGCGCTCCCACAGGGCGAGCACCACTCTCAGCCAGAAGCCAGGCTCACAGCTGGCAAGTGCAGCAGTGATGGCCAGAGCCTCTCCCACCTCCACGCAGCACTAAGTATGTTCAAGTGCCGGCTCAGACCCGCTCCCCGCGGGCCTAAGCCATCAGTCGGACATCTCCCAGGGCTCCTGGACTGCGAGAGGGTGCAAGCCAGGCTGAGAGACCTCCTCCCCACACTACCTGCCAAGTGCAAGAATTTCATGTACCGGGCCTCTAGTTCTCCCATAAAACACCATTCACTTCACTAACTTAAAATCTTTACCCAAAAAATTTGCTTCTCAAAAATAATCCCTAATCAAATTATTAGACTTTCTAGACTGAACTGATTATTACCAGTAATCAATGTTATTACCATAACACCAAAAATTCATTAACTACTTTTCTCAGGTCTACAGATAATGAATTTACCAATTTCAAATTCAATAATTCTACAAGTAGAGTGTAATGTATCAGTGAAACTGCTAAAAACCCCTGAATTTAAAGATCAAAAAGAGCCTTTTCCAGTAGTTGTTAAGATCATATATAAGATGATTTTATAAATACATTTCAAGATAACATATTACCTTTATTAAGGAATGTTATAAGCTTTAATGTCTAAAAATGTACAAAATTACTTACCTCTTCATCTGATTCCTCATCAGCTGAATTTTCAAGTCCTAATTCAATCAGATATAAAACCATGCAGAGTACATGTTCTGACAGATTTTGATGATCCATTAAAATCTTTAAAAAGGGAAAAAAATGCCTCATAATTACTTTTTTCCACAAAATATATTACATTTAAATATCCAAAAACATTTTAATGTCATAGATTAAAAAAATAAACATATATATAAGTATATAGCATGATCAAACATGTAATAAAGCTACATCTTGGTGAAAAGACAAACTAAACCAAAAATACAAGTTCCCATGCAAGATCACACTTTTTTTTTTTTTTTTTTTTTTTTTTACAGAGAGGAAGGGAGAGGGATAGAGAGTTAGAAACATCGATCAGCTGCCTCCTGCACACTCCCTACTGGGTATGTGCCTGCAACCAAGGTACATGCCCTTGACAAGAATCGAACCTGGGACCCTTGAGTCCGCAGGCCGACGCTCTATCCACTGAGCCAAACCGGTTAGGGTGATCACACAGTATTTTAAGCAATATCTAAAAATAAGAGTTCACTGATTTCCTAAAGGTTAACACATTAAACAGTCCACTAAATCCATTATTATAAATATACTAGTATCTGAAAAAATAACAAGAATATTTTACATCCTAATTTGCTGACACTCTTCTACTGATGACAAGGATATCAGAGCAGCAGTAGAAGTGGGTTGAAGGCTGGGAGGCAACAGAGGTCATCCTTTTAATCTGCTACTTTATAAAGGAAACCAAGGCTCAGCCACACATACAGTTAGTGTAAGCAAAACTAGAACACAGATTTCAGACTCCCAAAGATTATCTACCATTACTACACTGCCTCCTCTTGATACATAAAATATTACTAAATTCAAGTAAATTTTGGCTTGAAATCCTGTGACATTCCATCCTACAGCTTCAATTTCATAGCTAAGAAAAAAATCACTTTATTAGATACTGCGAAAAAATTAAAGTGACTTTTCTGGGGAATTTTATTAACATGTTCTATATTAATGTTTGTTAATAAACATGGCAGGAGGGAAAATGTTTTACTGACATTGGTTTTTAGAAAGTTGACTTGCCAATGCAATGTCAGTTAGAAAAGTTTTTTCTATTATTATTAAATTAAAAGCTATTATAAAGTTCAGACCTTAAAAAATTTGTTCGTAATAACCTTATAACACTGCCTTTCTATTTTTGATAAAATGCTATTTTTACAGTAAGCAAATAAAAGGTTGAAAAATATAACTTGAGAGAATATAAATCATTCACAGTAAGACTTTAATTTTTAAATCATAAATTATTGACTTACTACTCATTAATTATAACAGTGCTCAGATTAACCATCTGAACTAGTTATTTAACCTCTAAAACTCAAAAATCATATCTGAAAAATAAAAATAACACCTTTAACTCATAAATTTTGCTAGAATTAAACAAAGTAATGTATATAAGTACATATAAAGCATTTGAAACAAAATCTAGCACTAAGTAAACATTCAAAAATGTCTGTTATTTGTAAAATAAATACAAATATAATTTTAGTAAGGAAAAATATTTTACATTTTTAATGAAGAAAAGAAAAATTTTAATAATTTTATTGAATAATCCTCTTGGAAATTAATAAAAATAAACCACTTAAGATATTTTGAAACACATGTCTAAAATTTTAACAAGAATAAATTGAAAAATTGCTCAGGTAGAGTTGAAAAGAAGGGAGGGATACAAAAATCTAAAAGGATTATTCCATTACTAGTACATAGCAAACATTAAGAAAAAATCTAGTGTCTATTTAACTAAGTTTAATATATATTTTCTTAAGTAATTAATAAATGTGTATGTAGTCATTGGAAATTTGCATAACAAATATGCTTATTTTTCTTTTTATGCTTTTTAATTTTTCAAATTCTAATTAGGAAGAACAGTAGTTTTTCTTTGTATCTAATTATGTTTATTATGTCTATAGTTACTTTGTAACTGTCTATAGTAATTTCATCTTATAACATGAGTATAGTTCTTTTGTCTTTCATCTCTTATCCAGATTACATCATAAATATGCCTGTTTTATATGCATACACCACTATATTATGCATGCAATTTTTTAGTACACTATTAATGTTAGCCAAATAAATAAGTCAGTTTATGTGAAAAGAGCCAAGAATAAAACAAATTCAAGGTAAGAGGAAAGTAAAAATATCATCTTTTGAGTTTCTAAAGTCTTTAACACGAGCAAAATCTTAATGTGTCATATAGGAACCCATTCACATCCCTCCATGTCACATTCCTGATAAGAGTGAAAAAACCAAGAGAACAACCTTAAACACAGGGTTACTGGCCCCCATAGCTGTCATCTTAGTTTTGTCATGTTAGTAGCTACTGGTGGTTGTTTGGTCCCTGTTGTTCATCCCAATCTCCCTGTAATCTCACCATATTCACTTCTTGTTCTACAGAAGCTATCTATAAATATTCCTAATCTGGAACTGGATAACATAGTTTCCCACAAAGAATGGTATAGTTATTCCATTATTTTTAACTTAGAATTCATAAACATGTGATTATAACATACCCTCATACATCTTAAATGTATAAATACACTTTGCTTTATAAGTGGTACTTTTATGTAAATATTATCCTTTAGCACTGCTATTTGAAAATTATGGAAATAAATTCTAATCGGAATCTTTCTATTCAAATCACTACTGTACCTTGTAAAGCAGAGTGAATAGCACAATATGTAAAGTTTTACAGTGCAATAGTCTCATGAGACCTTTATAGCTGGGATGGAGTGGTGTCCTTTTCTTATAAGGAGGCCAAGGATTTCCAGGGAATTTTCCATTCTGTTTTAAACTGTAAAAATAAAACAAAACTAAAATTAGATGGTAGACTCAAGATTAAACTGTAGTATAAACTGTGATTTATTGTCATTAATTTTTGTCACATTTCCTATGCAGTACTTTTTTTTTAATCCTCATCCGAGGATATTTTTCCAAATATTGTCTACCATTTTTAGAGAGAGTGGAAGAGAGGAAAAGACAGAGAGAAATATCGATGTGATAGAAACACATTGATTGGTTGCCTCCTGCACGACCCAACCAGGCCCAGGCCGAGGAGGAGCCTGCAACAGAGGTATGTGCCCTTGACCAGAATCAAACCCAGGACCCTTTGGTCAGCAGGCTGACATTTTCCACTGAGCCAAACAGTCTAGGGCTATGCAGTACTATTTTAATCAAATTGCTTAAAATTTTTAAATGGGCCCTCGCCAACATTGCTTAGTGATTAGAGTGCCATCCTGTGCACCAAGGGGACGTGGGTTCCATTCCCGGTCAGGGCACATACCCAGGTTGCAGGTTCAATCCCTGGTCAGGGCACAAGTGGATGGGAGGCAACCGATCAATGTTTCTCACATCAATGTTTCTCTCTCTCTCTCTCTCTCTCTCTCTCTCTCTCTCCCCGCCCCCTCCAACCTTGCCTCTCTCCCTCCCTCCCTCCCTTCTTCTTTTTCTTCCTCCCTCCCTCTCTCAATGAAAAAATACATATCCTCAGATGAGGATTGAAAAAGCCAAACGAACATTATTATTGCCTTCCATATTGGATAAAAATGAGTGGAGAGAGCTAAAACTAAAGAGAAATATGAATAGGAAAATGTTAACAAAGGAAAACAAACAGAAAGAATACAAAGAATACAGAAAGAACTAGGCAAACAAATTCCCAGTTGTGCCCTAGCCAGGTAGCTCAGTTGGTTTGAACATCGTCCCCAAATGCCAAGGTTGAGGGTTCAATCTCCCTTCGGGGCACATGCAAGGATCAACCAATGAATGCATAAATAAGTGGAACAACAAATCAATGTATTTCTCTATCTTCCTTTCTCTCTAAAAAAAAAAAAAAAATCAATCGATAAAAATATATTATTTTAAATGTCCAATTGCAGTAACTGAATAAAATAGATAACCTAAAAATTCCCCACTACAGCTGGAAAAGCTGGATAAAACATAACATATAACCTTTTGAAGGCATATCTGAAGCACAAAAGAGGAAGTAGAGTTCTCCAAGGTAACGGGAAAAAATAACAAGCACTAACACTGTGTTTGCCAATGGTTTTAAAGTCTTTTAGATCTCAAGGTGTTGGACTCACACCAGGCTTAGAGATGGAACTGAGATCCCACATAAAGCTGAGACCTGAAAAGCTTTACCCTCAATGAAAGGATAACTCACAATGAGAACTAAGAAAGTTTGTCTCTTCTATGATGGAAAAATAACAGATTCCCAGGAAGATAATAATCATGAACTTGTATGAACAGAAGACTCAAAACATAAAAGACAAAATCTGAGAGAATTACACAAAGAAAGTGACAAATCCACACCCTTAATAAAGGATATTAACATATTTCTAACACAGTGGCCGGCAAACCGCGGCTTGCGAGCCACATGCGGCTCTTTGGCCCCTTGAGTGTGGCTCTTCCACAAAATACCACGTGCGGGCGCACACATACAGTGCGATTGAAACTTCGTGGCCCATGCGCAGAAG